CCTGTTCCCTTTTTTAAAGTAAAGAACGCAAACAACTGTTATCTTATCACAAATTGTCCTAAGCAGTGATCTACTTTCATGCAAAATGTTTAGGATGACAATTACAAACTTTGCGAGTTATGACAATTGCAAAAATTTCAGGTAAAGGTAAATGCACACAGGATGTGCCACGCCCACTTCAAAAATTTTAATTTGTCTGTGATGATGTCTACATTGTTAAATAATGTTCAAAATTTTAAGTCTTTACAATCATTTGATCATGAGATATTCGTAGTTAAACTTTTTTTTTCGGGCAACGGTGACTGTCGGTAAATTATAGACACCGTGATTTTACGCACAGTTACTATAGAAGTCAGTACAAAATTTTCGATTTTTAAAACGCGCAATTTTGATCAAAATATCAAGTGTGATATATCACCAAAAAGGAGATTTTATGCACTCAAAGAATATATAAGAATTTTTTGTCGTATGTTAATTAGGTCACGTGACAGAGCTCTTCAAAGTTAAAAATCGTGATTTTCCAATGGCTGTAGAACCAGAAGTTAACGATGCACAACAAAAGTGAGGATATCATCGGATATACCTCGTCAGGGACAACAACTTTTGTTCAGGTCACAAGGTCACCAAAGGTCAAAGTCACTAGATATGATATATATTTTTGACAATTACTGAAAACATAAAACCGGAAATATAAAAAATACGAATCCAAAATCGGCTTCCTAAGTTTTGTTTGCAATCGATTGCAGATTCTTTAGACACCAAAATCACACAAATCAGATTTACCCCTGAAGCTTAATATCGATTTTTACAAAAATTGGTCACATCAAGATGGCGTCTAACACGTTACTTCCGGTTCAAATTTTTTCATTCCAAAATTGTTATAGGGACAATTTTAACTAATTTCAAAAAGAATTTTTCAAATACCTACAAAATTCCGGAAGTTGAAATTTCAAGTTTAGAGGCGAATGACGTCAAAACCGGAAGTGATATCGAAATTTTGAAAATAGATTTTTGTCAGGAATCAAAATGATTATCTACTATTAAATTTTTAGACCGATTGAAATAAAATTGTAGAAGTTGAAAACAACGCTAAAATTAAAACAAAAAAAGTCAGCGACAAAAGTCAAAATCTGAAATTTTATAAAGTGCTATCTTTTAGTCATTGGTTTAAAGTAATGAACAAAACAAAGGTTACGGTCAAAATAGATGCAGAATTAGAGCAGTAATTCGAAATACGTAATGAATGGTTAACGTCATACGTCATTTCTGGTTGGAAGAAAATACGTCATTTTACATTTAAACAGTAGCGACACGCAAAGTATAAGAAATAATAATGTCAGACAATGTGTGACATGTGCAGTTTTGGCTGGGGAGCGTGACCAGAAGCAGACAAAAAAAAAAAAAAAAAAAAAAAAAAAAAAATAGTCATTTGCAAAACAATGCAGTGCAATTAGCAATTTCTTAGTAAAGTTATGCTTTCATCTGACAACATTAAAAACATGCATAAATTATTTTAAGATCACATAGTAATAATCTTTCATATCTTGCAAGAAAACAATCAGAACCACACACTTTTTAACAGGGATAAATACATTACAGTTAATCCTGAATTTTTGGGATTCTCTCCTTTATATAACATCTACCTATTATATATGCTATGTACAGCAAAATAAGTTGATACTTATAACCCTTGATAAGATTCTACCAGTTAGGATGATACTGTTGTTGTTGTTGATGATGCTGATGTTGTTGCTGATGATGTTGTTGCTGATGATGTTGTTGTGGATGGTGCTGTTGAGGTTGATACGATTGCTGTTGATGATGACCTTGATTTCTATAAGGATCAACTGCACCACTACCCCAACCAGCTTTGCCTTGATCATAATTTCTCCCTTGTTCTCGACTTGGTGGTGCACTCCATTGTTCACCAGGTCTTTCTCCCAATAAGGATGGCAAATCCCTTGGTTGATAATTAAAATCACTAATCTCAGCTCCTCTATTACGCTTCTCACCATAAGTTGGTGTTTGGTCACCCCAGGGGTTATTGCGTTTACCACCTTGATGTCCATATTCTCTGACAGTTGAGCTATAGGCTGATGGGACTGGATCTGATTGATTTGGTGCCACACCAAGTAACCCTTGACCTTTTGAAGCTGCTCCCCTAAAAATGTGATAAAAATTATGAGATTTAAAAATAGAATTCAAACAATCTATACAGAATATATGGAAATCACAACATGTACAAAAGGTAATAAAGCCAGAAAAATTATACTTCATAAAAATCAATTCAAATCCCTTTAAATCAATTTTATTTGTAATATTATACAGACATGATCATATTGTAGTGGCATAATAGGATGTTCATGTGAAACTATTAATTGCTAAATATTGAACTAGAAGTCTACAGTGGGCCTCACACTGCCATTTTGCTCCAATGTCGTGAGTTTTTAACCTGACAAAAGATAGCTTGCCTAATATACCATTGGCAGCTGTCAGAAATGATAAAACAGTCTTTAGTGACTAAAGTACGAATTTTCTCATATTAAAGAAATTTCATTAGTTTGAATTCAATGATATATATAATATATTTACTGCCAGTTATTTATGCTGAGTAATTTCACAAAATGTTTTAAAATCAATATCAATAACACAAATACATCAAATTATTAATCACAAACTTATATCGAGGGCAAAGAATGAAATCTTTGAAAATTAAAAATTGACCAAGATCTCATCAATACAAATAAAAAGACGTAAAATTCTATTCATTTCATTTATCAATATAAATCATCACAACCACATAAAATATGTAGTCTCTATTGTGCTCATGAACAAATTTTGAAGTATTTTATTTAAGTCAAAGGCTATAACACAAAAACTCGAAAAATCATCAAGTTCAAACTTGTCCAAGATCTAATCAATATCGATGATCACACCAAATTTCATTAAAACAGTTGAAAACTGTAGTCTCTATTGTGTTCACAAACAAATTTTGACACGTTTTTTTTGTAAGTAAACGGCAATAACTCAAAAACCGTTCATCGAAAAATCATGACAGATTGATTGAGCAATTAAAACTTTGCTTTTGCCAGTTCCAGTGCCAGCACCATCCCAAGTTCAGTTACTATAAATGACATAAGGTTTGAGAGTCTGTTTTCTGTTTCTTGTAGTACAAGGAAGGGGGGTGGCCTTATTATAGGCCTGGTAGAAAATATGGAAAAATTGAATTATTTCCAAGTGACTATAATATAGGCTAACCATATTGAGGAAGGTTATGATATTATAAGGAGATGCATGACCTTAGATTAGAAGTGGGAAAACATTGTCAATCAATTCTTGGAAACGCTGGACAAAGACATGTTCAGGGAAAGTCGTGTTGTGTGAGGCCTGCTTAAGTTACATTGGTAGAAATCATCACAAATTTTCTGGTACACAGAAAGAATCTTTCTGATTTTGGTTATGTCCCTTATGAAATGGGATTATTAGTTATTATAATTAATTCCATCTATCAATGAACATTGAAGTTTTTTTTTAAGATTCCATAATTAATATTTTCTTACCAACTGCCTCCATAACCACTGCCTTCAGATTTACCAGGCATATCCCAGGTTCCACCATAAGGATCTTTATTACTAAGATCTGATCTACCAGGTATATGGTCAGGTCTACCCCAATTACCACTTGGATTATTACCATTACTCTCATTACGGCGGTCATCACGCTACAAAACAGTGTCAATATGTTTAGTTATAACAGGAGTAGAAATTTCATGTATAATAGATATCAATTTATTCAAGTAAACTGTTGCACTGATTTATTTATTCAGTTTTATATCTTTGATTTTAACTTTCAAATTATCATCCTGGGATTTGTTAGTTTGTAGCCCACAGGTTTCCTTCAAGAAATCAGATTTGTCAATTCAATCTTCAACCAATCAGAGGTTTTAGTACTGTGGTTGATTATAATTCAAAAGTAAGGATGAAGGATGAAAATATGATGATACCTGATTATTTTGTCCACTAGGTTGATTAGATCTACTGGCTTCAGCTACTTGCTTCTCCCATTGTTCTCGTATTTTCTGGTGTAGATTTTTCTTCTCTTCTACAGGTTGTTCTGGTACATCAAAACGACTTTGTCTCTTTCTTGTTTCACTTCGTAATCCAATCTCCTATGATAATAATCAACAGAAATTAATCAAAAAATTCACACAAGTTTATCTGGAACAAAAGTTTTGATCCTGAAAGAAGTTATAGGATGCCAGAGCTTTTGTCTATTAAGTACATTATATACCAATGTGAAATGTTTGATCTTCACTACATCAAACACATAAATTTTTGCTTTGTAGACAGTTTTCTAAGCAGAGAAATGGATGCATTTAGATGGACAATATTTTTCATTATTTTCTGAAATTTGATATAATCTATTTAAACAGAAAATCCTTGAGTACATACCTTTTCAAATTGTTCTTGTTCATTTTGAAGATGTAAAGAATGTTGCCAGTTATTAGATGAACCATGATGCAGATCAGGACGTATATATCTATCTCTTTGTTGTTGTTCTTGGCGTAATTTAGCATCTCTTTCCTCTCTCTGTCGACGTAACTCTGCTTGTCGTTTGATTTCTTCAAGCCTCTCTCGTTCTCTCTGCTCTCTTTCTAGTTGTTCTCTAGCTAGTTTCTCTTTCCTTGCTCTTTCTTCCTCTTCTTTTCTTTTCTTCTCTATTCTTTCTCTTTCAAGTCTCTCACTCTCTAGTTTAGCTTGTTTTAGACGTTCTAGTCTGTCACGTTCTATCATTTCACGCTCTAGTCGATCTTTTTCTAAACTAACTCGTTCTAGTCTCTGTATTCTCTCTCTCTCTTGTTGTTCTAGTTCCATACGTTTCTGTGCTTGAAGATGCTGGTCACGATCTTGTTGCATTCTCAAAATTAATTCCTCTTGTTGGCGTTTCTGTTCAGCCAATTCAGCTTGATGTCTAATTTCTATGTCTCGAATTCTCATCTCCTCTGAAATACACAAACTTTACTAACACCACACACCAGATTCAGATAATATAAAGGCAGAGTCTATTATTATAGTGCGTTCTTAGTTTTCGAAATGACTATTTTTTTTTTTGTCTACTTCTGGTCACGCTCCCAGCCAAACTGCACATACAAGGGTTATCTGACACCATTATCTCTTATATCTTGCGTGTCGCTATTGTTTAAATGTAAAATGACGGCTTTTCCTCTAACCGGAAATGACCTATGATATTAACCATTCATTGCGTATTTCGAATTACTGGTCTAATTCTGAATCTATTTTGACCGTAATTTTTGTTTTGTTTGTTACTTTAAACTAATGACTAAAAAATAGCATTTTAAAAAATTTCAGATTTTGACTTTTGTCGCTGATTTTTTTTCAACTTCTACAAATTTCTTTCAACCGATCTGAAAATTTAATAGTAGATAGACATTTTGATTCCTGACAAAAATCTATTTTCAAAATTTCGATAACACTTTCGGTTTTGATGTCATTCGCCTCTAAACTTGAAATTTCAACTTTTTTCAATTTGTTAGATTTGTCCCTATAAAGATTTTAGAATAAAAAAATTTGACCCGGAAGTAACATGTTAGACGCCATTTTGATATGACTAATTTTTATAAAACTCAAAATGGGGCCTCAGGGTAAAAATGGACGTGCGTACTTCTGATGTTTATGTAAACTGCAATTGATTGCGCAAAAAAACTGTGGGAGCCGATTTTTTAATTTCCCTTTTGCATTCTTTTTATTGCCGGTTTTATGTTTTCAGTAATTGTCAATAACACTTGGTATTTTGATCAATATTGCGCTTTTTAGAATTTGAAAATTTTGTATTGACTTCTATAGTAACTTGCTTAATTTAACAGGTGTCTATAATCCACCGACAGTCACTGTTTCCTTAAAAAACATATAACTATGTATATCTCATGATCCAATGATTGTAAACACTTGAAATTTTTAACATTATCTTAAATTCTACACATCATGAGACATACCAAAATTTTTGAAGTGGGCGTGGCACATCCAGGTTTATTCACCTTTACCTAAATATTTGCAATTGTTATAACTCGGAAAGTTTGCAATTGTCACCCTGGAAATTTTGCATAAAAATAACTCACTACTTGGGACAATTAGTGATTAAGTTACATTTTTTGGACATTTTACTGTAAAACAAGGGAATAGGTTTTACAGTTTATTAAATTTGGATATTTTAACAATTGAAATGCATGACCTTAATCTTTGCAAGGTCAAAGGACAATGATCTATGATGTCAATTCATACTTTGATCTTTGATGGCCAACACATACTTCCACTTTTTTCAGATGTCCCAAAGCAGCAATTTTCAACACTTTTAAGTCTTATATCTCTTTTATTTGGCCTTTGTTGACCTCAAGTTATTGTACTTGACAGACATTTCCAAAAATATTTTCATTTTTGCTGTGCGATTTGTACTTTTAACTTTACAGCTATTTGAAAATTAAACTTTTTACTACCGAATGTTAACACCTTTTAGTACCGAATGTTGAAACCCTTTAGTACCGAATGGTATCAAATTCATGCATCTATTTACTACAGAACATTAAACGGTTTAAACGACCTTTTTTTCTACTGAATGTTTACATGCTTTTCGGTAAGAAATCTCATTGTTACTTTAAAATGCAATGTTTCACAATTGTATAAGGTATCTGGATGCGCACTGCTTCGGTACCGTTGTCACGGTTCTAGTTATAATTGTAATAAACGAACAGAAAGACTTAGATTTAATCTGTTTATTTGAACAATAATTCTCATGGCAGTAAGTTCTTAAGATAGCAAAATTGTTACCTTGCATTCTGAATTCTTGTATCATATTATTCTCAAATATTTGTTGATTCTGACTAAATTCTCTCTGTAATCTTTTAGTTTCTTTAATAACTATATCAGGAGCTTCCAACAGACCTGGTCTTTCTAGGAAATCATCAACACCAACTGTTATACCTAATCTACTCAATGATTCTTGTCTTCGTTCAGCTTCCTCTATAGCACGACGTCTGTCTTGTGCACCTGGTTCTGGTCCAAGTAAACCATCATTATTATTGTTCTGACCTCCACGTCTGCGATTATCATTTTGACGTTTGTTGCGATCATCTTGCCATGATTTCTGATTACTAGATTTACTATCATTGTTACCAGATACTGCTGGAGATTTTCTGTCTTCTTTTGGTGCCTCTATAAAACAAGTTAATAACATAAGCTTACACGTAAAGGGAAATAAATCTTTTTAAAGCTCCTTACTCCCGTAGGACTGAGACTACGACAATGTTCACATTTAAGAATATCGTCCAATTATTTTTTGGTATTTTTGTCCTTTTTGTCATTTTAGCAAGTTGTATTGTTTCCCATGATATGGATTTAAATATTGGAAAAAGAAGATGGTTCACAGGGTTTTCTTCTGATCTGCACACATTAAATGCTAATAATATATTAAATTTAAGATCAGATACAAAGGATTGGACACACTTTCATTAAACATAAATAAAGTTTTCAATGAATGTTTGGAATTTTTTCAACTGAAATAGAAACTTGTAACTATAGTAATTTAAAAACTTGTTATTTAGTTCAAATGAATATGATAAATTTGTAGTTACCTTTCAGAGGAGGTGGAGGGGGTACTTCACTGCGTATTTGTAATCTTCTACCACCAATAACTACAGATTGATAAAACCTTAATACACCACCAACACTTTCAGGATTAGAACACATAACAGTAGCATTTCTGAAATAAATAACAGGGAATTGTGAAGAATGATAAATAGGTTAACGATAGGTAGGTAAACATATTTAAAAATTTGAAAATCATTAAGTACTGATTATCAGAAAAATTAACAATATTATACAAGTTTAGTATTAAAAGGGTGAGTTTTTGTCAAAAAAGGAAACAGCTCAAGAATATCTTAAATAGAGCGATAAAAAAAATCCGAATAAGACTCGACTAAAGCATATCATTGAAGTAATGGCATCTCATCTCAATCTATATTTTGAGTGACAATTCAGTGTCTAATAATCAATTTGAGACTTATTTTAAGGTAGGTGATATTAACAGCAAGTGAATTATTTATGATTCAGTGTGAACGTATATTTTTAAATAGTTTTTATCTTAACATTAAAAATAAGTTTATAATTGTATTATGAATTTTCATCATCTTTGATTATGTTTTAAACAGTTGGTAAAACCAGATATATGTATGTTAATTTCTTTTCTGATTTTGAGATTTATGTCTTTATGTTATGGTATGGATAGTTGTGTTAGTTTTTATATGCATCATTTGCAGGACAAAGTACAATGTCCTGCTTACAATTGAAGATTTGAACAAAACTGTAGATGAAGCACAGTTTCCTTCAAAGGCTGTCTAAGATACTTACCCAAAGTAATTATGCAGTAATGATATATTATGTAGAAGTTGTGTTGTCTAATATTTGTAAAGTTCATAATTACCAATCAATGTCTCAGGTGTAGAAGTATCAAGAAAATGTATATTGATTTAAATTCGCTAGTTTTAAAGACAAAAACTAAATTTCTGCTTCAAATAAGATTATCAAGGAAAGGTCTTCTTACACAGCACACAGTATGTATCCTGTAGAAGCTTGGTTTATTGTACTATTCCAAAGACTAGACTATTTTTTATGTCAGCTCTCTTCTACTTGTCTTCTTGCTGTTCTACCTGTATTATAGCTGGGGGAAAAGCAGGGTTGAAAAACTCTTTGAAGATAGTACCTGGATTCAATGCACTTTTTTTTAGGCCAGAAACTTATTATTTTGGAGAAGAAGTCATAAAATCTTATACTCGGATAAAAGTATTTAATCCAATAATTGTATAGATTAAAGAAATAAATAGTAACAGATTTAGTTTGCTAGAAAGAAATTAATGTGAATAAAAATCACTTTCATCCATAGATAGATGAGATCATGTAGAAATCAGGTTGAAATTCCAACTTTCTTGGTATCCAAAGGCTTGAAAGAACTGGCAGAAGTTGTCTTACAACTAAATCAATGTGATATGATGTACATCTAACATTGAGCGAAATGACAAAACAAGTATAAAACTACATGTAACTTGGTGAAGTTTCAGGAAAAGATAAGATATCAATGACATTTTTAAATGCAGATAATCATGGAATTGAATGCTCAAATTTCAACAACAAAATGTGATCACTCTTACTGATAAGCTTTACTGATCAATTCCATTTCTGCAGACTATAATTGATAATACAAACGGTGAATGTGTCCTAAAGGAGAAAAACAGCCCTTTTCTGTATGACTTGTGAAGAAGACCAACAATTTCCAACAATTTCCAATGTTAAAGTCTGCACTTTAACCTTTAATATCAATAAAAACCCAACCTACATGATTATCAGTCAGTCATCTATTATGTGGTATGGCAAAGGTTCCAGCCATCGGAAGCCTCTGATCAGTTATTTTTTCAAGTGATCAACTGCGATATTGCCAGTTATAAGAAAGAAGATATTGCTGCAAATTCAAGTTTACAGAAAAGGTTTCCATAATTGGATAGGAATAAATGAATGAAATTAAGATTTACTTTTATAGTTCTATGTAAGGTTATAATTAAAAAGATGTATGCTGATTTCATGTTGATTTGAAGGCGTTATGAAGACAATTCTCATTCATTATACTTACTGATATGAATTACATTACACTGTTCCATTACTTATCACACAGGATCACCATAAAAAAATCTACTGGAATCAAATACTTACCTAGTCTCATTTTCGCTATTATCTGTTATTACAATATTTACTATTTTAGCAAATATTGCATCTAGTATGATTTTAGACATCCCCTTTGGGCCATTGGATATATTGATTTTCCTCTGTTTCTCTGTGCCTAAAAAATATGCAAATAACATAGCAAAATTATAGCTACATTACTCAAGAGTTGATGAATATGACATTCTGTAATCTTTCATGCAGGTCACCATCTATAATTTGTATTGGTATCTCTAATACAGTAAACATTCCTATGACCTCAACTACAATTACTGCTATGACAAGACAAATGTTTGCATCTTTGAAATCTAGAAAACATTAGTACATAATACAGCTATTGAAATCCTTCAGTTGATTGTTTTGGTTCCATGTTCAGTTTGTAAGATGTGCAATCATGAATATCGAAAACTTCATCAAAACTTGAGACATACACAATGAACTGTATGAAGAAACAAATACAAGCATTAGTGACTTTTATTTGGCTGGTTTGTAGATACAGGCATGACTGGTATGTACTACATTGGTCAATATAAACAGGCTGGATAGGTTTCAAGATACCTGTTGTTTGGCTTCCAAATTCAGACTAGGTTGGTTTCATGATACTTATTGGGTAAGTCTTAAGTGGTTTCCAGGCACAGGTTGGGTTAATTTCAAGTAGTTTCCAGACACAGGTTGGGTTAATTTCAAGTGTTTTCCAGACAAAGGTTGGGTAAATTTCAAGTGTTTTCCAGACAAAGGTTGGGTTCATTTCAAGTGTTTTCCAGACAAAGATTGGGTAAATTTCAAGTTGTTTACAGACACAGGTTGGGTTAATTTCAAGTGTTTTCCAGACACAGGTTGGGTAAATTTCAAGTGGTTTCAAGATGCAATCTGGATACTAATCAAGGTATAGACAAGACTGCTGGCTACCAGTAACAGACTGGATTGTCTCACAGATACAAACAAGATTGGCTCCAAGATATAGGCTAGGCAGGACAAAAATATACAGGTTGAAATGGCTTTAAGATACAAGTTGAATTGGCTTCAAGATAGAAATTGGATTGGCTTCAAGATACATGTTGAATTGGCTTCAAGATAGATGTCGCATTTGCTTCAAAATATATGTTGAATTGGCTTCATAAGGTTGGGTGTCATCAAGATACAGGTTGACGATACAAGCTGGATTGGTTTCAAGATACAAGTTGGATTGGCTTCAAGATACAGGTTTGATTGGTTTCAAGATACAGGTTGGATTAGCTTCAAGATACAGGTTGGATTAACTTACAGATACGGGTTGGATTGGATTGCCTTCCAGCTACAGGTTTGATTGGTTTCAAGATACAGGTTGGATTAGCTTCAAGATACAAGTTGGATTAGCTTCCAGTTACGGGTTGGATTAGCTTCAAAATACAAGTTGGATTAGCCTCAAGATACAGATTGGATTGGCTTCCAGATACAGGTTGGACTGGCCCCAGGATATAGACTAGATTGACAGACCAGTAACAGACTTAATTGAATACTGGACTAGCTCTAATACAGACTGAAGATACAAAGTTGTTTGGCTTCAAGATACAAACAGGTTAAGCATCAACAAACAGACTGGATAAAATTCAAGATACAGACTAGATAAGCTTCCATACATGGATGTTAAGATAATACAATGTCAACATGATGAGTAGTATACTTAATGGGTCCTCAATATCAAGTGGTGTTATGGACAGGAACATTCAGCATCAAGACACAGGTGGGATTTCAAATCATACAATATAAGAAAAGCTAAACACCAGATTAGCTCCAAGAATGACTTCTTTTAATAATTACCTGTATAACCTCAAACGACAAGTTTCACAGAATGCAAATGCAGTGGTATGGAGGTATAAGAATAAAAAAAAGATAGCATCACAAAAACATACTCCTACATAGGTGACCAAATACAAACAGTACTTTTTGGCTTCCAGAAAGGAAACAACTTCTAGCTTCATAAACCACATATAACTTGATGCAGGGTTTGATTTTTCTGATTATCAAAACTGACTTGCTGCTTCTGAATATGAAGTGGACTGGCTGTTTCTGAAACATGAACAGGACTTGCCAATTCTACATTCCAACTCGCTACTTCTTAAGACTCAACAGGATCTGCTATTTCTTCATAAGAACGGGACTAGCTTGCTGCTTCTACATTAGAACAGGAATTGCTGCTTCTACATAAAAACAGGGCTTGCTGCTTCTATATAACAACATGACTTGCTGTTTCTACATAACAATAGGACTTGCTGATTCTACATAACAAAAGGACTTGCTGCTTCTACATACCAAAATGACTTGCCAAAGCTTCTATATACCTAAAGGACTTGCTGCTTCTACATAAGAACAGGACTTGCTGCTTCTACATAAGAACAGGACTTTCTGCTTCTACATAAAAACAGGGCTTGCTGCTTCTACATAAAAACAGGGCTTGCTGCTTCTACATAAAAACAGGGCTTGCTGCTTCTACATGAGAACAGGACTTGCTGCTTCTACATAAGAATAGGACTTTCTGCTTCTACATGAGAACAGGGCTTTCTGTTTCTACATAAGAACAGGACTTGCTGCTTCTACATAAGAATAGGACTTTCTGCTTCTACATGAGAACAGGACTTTCTGTTTCTACATAAGAACAGGACTTGCTGCTTCTACACAACAATAGGGTTTGCTGCTTCTACTCAACAATAGGGTTTGCTGCTTCTACATAACAACAGGACTTGCTGCTTCTACATACCAACATGGCTTGCAGATCCATACCAACATGATTTCTGAATATCATGTGCAATGGGTCTTCTGATTATAAAAAGGACCTGTTACTTCTGAATATGAACTGGATTTGCTGTTTATGGACTCAATATGGCTTGCCTTTTCTATGGACTCAACAGGACTTGCTTCTTAAGAATATCAATTGGATTTGATACTTGTAAATATGAATAAATCTGGTAGCTTTTAAATATCAACAGGTTTTGATGCATCAGACTGGACATCAGGTGGACTTGCTGCTTCTAGAACTGAACTAGATTTGATGTTTCCCAGTATGAACATGAATTCCCTTGAATATCAACAGGGCTTAGTGCCTCTGAATATCTATACACAAACAAAATCTGGTTTCTTTAAAGAAAAGGGTACTTATAAAATACAGTAGAGTTGGTATACAGGACTGAAAATGAATATGTATATGTTACATTAGCAACCATCATTAATACTGGCTATACTACACTAATAAACTTATGACAAATCTCATTTTTTTTTGGTAGAAAACTACGACTCCTCTTCATTTGAATAAGATACCAGAGAGAGTTTATTGAGGAAGCTCTTTTGATTAGTAGCATTTTAGTATCAGATGCTAAACCCTTTATATGTTGTTAAAACTATTCACTGTTGACAGCTTGAGTGTTGAAATCCATCTGCTTCAACCAGAATGTATTCAATCTTGCTTCAGCTCTCCAAAAGCTACAAGGCTCTGTCTTCTTTCATATTACATTAGGAGAAGTTGACATATAAATGAAGACAATAACCAATTAATGCTGGTAATCATCACTCATCAAATTTGAAAACACAAAATTAAACTGTCAATCTTATCAAGAGACAAGATCTTCAAAAAAGACAACATCAAAGATTGACATTGATCAGTTAATAAGTATCCAATGTTGGTGTGTGTTTTTATATGATTTAACCTACCTTTAACTGGTGCTGATGTAATATGTCTTCCTTCTCTCAGATCCAATTTTAAGAGCGCTGAAAGGAGAGAATAGATAACAATTAATTTATACTTACATAAAAAATTAAATCTATACATTTCTTTAAATATCCAAAATTCAATATGAAAAGCAATAATAAATTAATTACCTGATTCAGTTCCAGCATTCTGTTCAAATAATTTATGTGATACACTAACGTGGACAAAGTTGGTTTCCAATCGTAGCTGAGATAATTTATCTATAGCTTGACGTATTTCACCAGCTGATGTCAAACAAAGGTCTAAAAATCTACAAACATACAAACAATATTAACAAATCTACTTTGATGAACATTTGATGTTAATTAAATAACCTTTTAAATGAGTTATTGTTCTGTTCAGTCATTTAATTTAATATTTAATAAGTTTTAATATTTCAATCTGGCTGTACAATTTCATGTATTGACTAGTTCTGCAGTGAAAATATTTGTGGGACTTTGCTACTGCAAACCTTTCAACTTGCCTTGAGCATCCATATAGGCAATGTTGTGCATACATATAAATTGAAACTTTTTTGCAAAACCGGAAGTGCCACAGTTCAACATGTGCAAAAAGTAGAAAATTAGCTCTAGAGGTCGCATTTTTGAGTCAATTATTTTCAGGTTTTTCATTTTTGGAATCTGCATGTAATTTCTGATATAGCAGTTAAATTATTTCCAAATTTGAAAATTTGTCACACACTAAATGGTACGGTCGAACTTTTGACTTCACTTCTGGTTCAAACAGGAAATTTACTTTCACTTCCGGTGTAATTGATATATATAATTCTTAATGTGGTTTTCATGCTCTTTCTGGATAAATCACAATTGTTTTTTGAAGCAAAATTGAAATTCGTGATTTTGAGAAATTTGAGTGTTTTTTTACAATATTTTTGCCTCTTTGAACTTGGTCTTATCTTATGACCCATTTGATGTAGAAGCTTGAAATTTGGAACACAACTAGACATTTTACAAGGTCAAAGGTCATTGACATTGGCTATTCACTGATACTTTCATTTATGATATCTGACATCTACTTCCAAACACAGAAAATGTTGTAACTTTAGACTGTCCTGGCACATGACCTAATTTAACTAGAAGGTTGATTTTTCTCTCTTGCAAATTTGCCGCATTAGCAAAATCCCACTCTGTGCCATGTGTGGCTCTAGTTTATTATTGTAATTTCTGAACAATATAATACTATCAGTGGTTTAAGACTATAATAAATACCATTAATATCAATTACGGTCAGAAAGTCATAATTTGATTTTGACAAAAAGCTGCAAAACAAGATATGCCATAAAAATATTACTAACCCATATTTTCTCTTTTTGTCATTCTGCATATTAAAAACTAGAACACTATCATTAGCTAATGCCATAATCTGTCTAAAAGTCTCATTGTTTAAATCATTGATATCTACTGGTGAAATCTTTAAATTCCATCTCCAACTTTTATCAACTACAAAATACAACAAGTTATCACACATCTCATATCCAATAATACGCTCATAAATTTCCATGTGATAATCACAGCCACGTTCTACAGATCTCCCATGGTATCTAATTATTAATTAAGAAATTTTAGTATTACACATACTTGGAAAGTTCCTTTAGATTTAATACATACTTTTATTAAATGTATTCTTCATTACTACTGAACCAAAATTACTTCAACAAGAATCCAAAGTCACATAAACACCCTATTTGGTAAAGCTACACCATTAATGAAAATACTTACATTTTTCAATAGTATCTCTCATATTTTTGAATGGGTCTACAGCTCTTGATGGCTCAAGCTGTTTCACAACTGGAGTTGTCTTTGGGGTAGTAGCTTTCTTTTCAGGTAATTTAGTATCCTTCTTTTCAACTGGTTTACTTTTTTCAACAGGTTTACTGGCAGCAGTTTCTTTTCTTTCTGGTGTTCTATGAGATGATGACCTGGATTTATAATCCCGTTCTCTATCTCTACGTCTGCTATCACTTCTACCACGTCCACGAGATCGACTTCTTGACCTAGATCTGGACCTTGATCTACTTCTACTTCTTCGTCGTCGACTTCTATACCTTGAAGAATCATGGTCCTTTCTGGATTTGTCATCTATATTCTTACTCCCACTGTCTTTTCCTTTTGGATCATCATCCATTTCATCAAGAACCATCCATTCTTCTGGAAAATCATCTACGTCACCTTCAATTGTTTCAACACTACGAACTTCATCATCATCATCTTCAATGACAACCAGATCAGTACCTGATGGCACAACAGATGCTGATTCTTTTTTCTTAGAGTCTTCTTTTTTCTCAACTTGTTTACAATCTGATTTTTTTACAGGAGGCTTATTAGCTGTTTTTTCAGCAGGCTTTGATTCATGTTTTAAAGGTGTCTTAGTTTCAGCTTTTTCTGGAGGTTTGCTTTCACTTTTAACTGGTGTTTTAGTCTCATCTTTTACTGGGAGTTTTCTGTCCTTGTTAGCAACAGCTAGCTTTTCTTCAACCTTTACTAATAGCTTTTTTTCAGTATTTGCTGGGGTCTTAATTTCTGTTTTAACAGATGTTTTGACATCTGTTTTAATGGGTGTTTTGGTTTCTGTTTTAACAGGTGTTTTGGGTTCTGTTTTGACAGAAGTTTTGGTTTCAATATTAGCCACAAGTGGTTTGGTCTCCAATATTACAGGTGTTTTAACTTCAACTTCGAATGAATCTGCCTTTTTCGCTTGAGGGGTCTTTGGTTCAACTTTTGTCTTTACTTCTTCCTTTGTGTCTGTTTTCTTGCTGTCTGATTTGTATTTTGAGATGTTAGATGGTGATGATTCCTTCACCTCCATTTTGGTTTCAGGTTGATTATCTGGCTCAGTATCTGATAATAATAATGATGTATCTATATTCTCAATGTCATCATCTTCTATATCACATTCTATATTTATCAAATCATCCAGATCACTACCAACAGAGCCTTCTAAATCTTCCATATCCATCTTGACTTATTGTATTGTCTGAATAGGCTAACTTTAGGTCTGAAACAGATATCAAAACTTGGTTGTGAAATGGCATCATTATTCACTACATACAGAGCTTTTTTCTTCACATCAATGCAAGTATTGAGTGACATCTAAGTTAACGGAGTTTAAATTTGGTCAATGATTAACACTGAATTTTCAGTTATTGTGTCTTGTTAATTATACAGGTATTTTTAAAGTAAATTGAACAGAAATTTGTTAACATACAACATAGATTAATTTTAAGACAGTTTTTATTTTCAGAATTTATTATTCCATTCTATATTAATAATAATTTTTTTATCAAATAAGCTTACAGCTGAGTCATCCATGCAATGGCTTCTACGCTTAAAGAGACAGATGCACAATTTTTTTGACCAATCGAAACCTCAGTGTCAGAAATAGGAATTTTTTAGCTACGCCAACCAGTAATGGTATGTCCAGAATAATACACACTTAAATGTTAAAATGACAACTTGTCATCATTTTAAGAAACTCTGTGATAGATCATTATTTATATCTACTATAAAAACCTTTATCAAATCACCTTTTAAACAGGTTTGATGTTCTCAGTGAATAAGTTGTCTTGTAAGAAATGGTTGATATCACATGTCATGGTCAATTAACAAATTAAATAATATATACAGTCTTTTTCAATATTTGAACCCTCCTTGACATTTATCAAATGATTGAACACAGTCTAATTAGCACCATTAGATATATCTTTTACACAGTTTATATGATTTCTGGAGCAAAGTTTAAATAGAAAAAATAAATTAATTTGATTTGTCCATCCCTTCAGTGAGGAATTCAACTAGTGTCAGCTTTTCTGGGTCATCCCCAATATCATAATTACTATGATACAATGGTTGATCATCATTATCACGTTTAGCTGAATTATTAACATTCAAATTTAACTGTGACACTGAATTCTGTGTTTCTAATGATGATTTAGTTTTATTTTTCTGAGACTTCTGTATCATTGCACGAACACGCTTAATTAAAGCACTGAAACCACGACTCTTCTTTGGTGTGTCTTTCTGCTTGGCATATTGTTCCATTAATTTTTCTTCTAATCTTTCCTTCTTTCTTCTTAACTCTGCCAATTTCTCAATATATGTTTTCTCTTCTTCATTAAAATGATCTTTATTATCAATAGCTGAGGACAATAAATCTTGATTCTGGTTCAGTAATTGTTGTAGTTGTAACAGTAATGTTTCATTCTCCTCTTCTAAAGTAGTGTTAATCTGATGTAAAGTGTTGAAATTATTCTCCATTTGTTGCATGTCTTGATCAATTCCACTAAAATCTTCAAAAGCATCTTCTAAAGAATCACATGTATCTTCTTGGTAGTCAGCTCCCATTTCCAGTCGATTGAATTTCATAGCATAACCTTTCATTTCTGTTGAAGATGAAGATGATAAGCAATCATCAACATCATGTCTTCTGGAATCTTTCGCTTGTTTATTGAGTAGATTAGTTCTGGTTGCGATATATTCTGATACTAGATCTTCATATTCTAACAACAATAATTCATGGATCTTTTGTAATTTTTCATGATCAGCAAGAACTCTTTCATGATAGTACTGTAATTCTTCATGACTGGTTAACAGGTTCTCATGTTCACTCTCCAGTAAGGCAATATGGTTTTGAGACATGATGTTTTGGTTCATCAAAGTTGAAAACTGACACTGAATAGCTGTATTTTGAGTCTGCAATTTTGCAATAATCGTATTCTGCTTCTTGATGTAGACTTGAGTTGATTGTGACATTGGTTGGTCACCATTCATGGTTCTTGGTGAGGATTTCTGAGTTTCATTCTTAGTGATAGCTTCATGTTGAACTCTGGTCTGAGCATCTAATTCAACTACCTTTTGATTCAGGGACTGTATTTCTCTTTCAGCACGCAATAAACTATGACGAAGTTCATCATTTCTTACTTCATATTGATTGATTATCTGACTTCTTTCTTCGTTAATTTTCATATTATCATCATACAGACGTCTGTATTCCTCAGCTTGTCTTAGTTGATTTTTCAAATTCTTCACTTCCTCTTCAGCAAAATGTAGTTGATTTATATAAGCCTCATTATCAGCCTGTAGTTGATCTAAACTCTCTGTTAAATCACTGTTAAAATTCTTGCGATCTTCTTTCTGTAATTCAACTTCAGCTACTATTTCATTCAGTTGAGTTTGAAGAGATTTGACAACATCTTCGGCATTCTGAACCTGTTCTTTAAGTCTGTGATTTTCTTCTTCAAAATCTTGAACCTTTTCAGTTTGAGTGGCAAGATTGGATTCTTTATTGTCACACTCTGATTTCAATGATTTGATTTCTTTATCTGAAGATTGAAGTTGGTTGATGAGATCTTGGTTTTCACAATGAAGCTTCTCCAAACTTCCCATTTTAGAAATTTCTACATCATGTTGACTTTTTACAAGTGATTTCATTTTATGTTCAGATGAAGATAGCTCTTTCTGTAAAATTTCACATCTTTTCATCACATTCTCAAGTTGTTCTGTAAGTTTTACATTTTCTTCTTGGATATCTTTGACCTTTTCATTGTCATTTTCATAATCAGCTAAAGTTCGGCGCAGAACTTCTATTTGGTCGCTGAGAATTTGATTTTCAAAAATTAGTTTCCCAATTGAAGATTCTGTCGCTTCATGGCTACTTGTCAACTGTTTCTCAAGTTCCACATTATTCTGCTCCACCTTTTCCAGAAGTTTCTCTTTCTCAATAAAATTTTTAATTTCATTTTCAGCATCTTGAAGTTTTTCATTTAATGTCAGATTCTCTGCTTCCAGTTTATGCAAGACATCAGTATGGGATTCATTAAGACTTCTGTTCTCTTCATACATACTTTTCTTTATCATTTCAGATTCATTAAATTTCTCTTTCAATAGATCTAGTTCATCTTCTACCATATTCAATTGTTCTAGTAACTTTTCATTCTCCACTTCTACTTGGTTTAAATTTTCATTCACCATCAGTTCACCTTCTGCATATTTCTTCGATTCAACTTTCAACATTTGCAATTCCTCAGCTACTATTTCAAGTTGATCATTCAAATCTTTGTTTTCATTTTCTAGCTGACGAAGACTTTCATTCAATAAACGTTCACTGGATTCATTTAATTGATCTTGTAAGATGTCATACTCTTCTTGAACAATGTTCAAATCTTGACGTAATTTTTTATTTTCTGTCTCAAGCTTTTCAATTTCTTCAGCTGATTTTGCCTTTATCACTTTCAGTTCATCTTCTGTTTTGACTATTTGTTGTTCAAGCCACTGGTTATCAGATTCTAAATCTTCCATATCTTTCACTTTATTTTCAAATTCTTCAAGCACTGTCTTCTCACTGATAACTTCTTTACTTAATCTCTCAACTTCTGTTTCTAATTCCAGCATTCTAGTCTCTTTAGCTTTTGATAATTTCAGCTCTTTCCGGGCAGTTTCCAATTCTTGTGATATGTCTGAAGCTTTAACTTGTAATTTTTCAGATCCATCCAGCTTTTTCTGTGCATCTTTCAATTCTTCAGTCATTGAATTTAACTCCTGTTGAAGTTTATCTTTTTCTGTCATCAATACTGAAACGTTTTCTGCTCTTTTGGCAACTTCTTGCAATTGCAGCCGGCTTTCTTTTAACTCCAACATCAAACTCTGGTTTTCTTGTATCAATTTTTGTGTTTGTTCTTCATTAACTTTAACCTCTTTTATTTGATTTTCAAATCTTTCCACCATCTTTTTCTGATGAGACAAATCTTCAGTTAAAACTTCAATTTCTGTTTCTAATTCCAGCATTCTTGTTTCTTTAGCCTTTGATAACTTCAGCTCTTTCTGGGCAGTTTCCAATTCTTGTGATATACATAAAGCTTTCTCTTGTAGTTTTTCAGAACTATCAATCTTCTGTTGAGCTTCTATTAATTCTTCAATCTTTAAATTCAACTCCTGTTGAAGTTTTACTTTTTCTTTCATTAACAAGGGAACATTTTCTACTTTTTTGACAACTTCCTGCAATTGCAGTCTGCTTTCTTTCAATTCCATCATCAAACTCTCGTTTTCTTCTTTCAAATTTTGTGTTACTTCTTCTTTAACTTTCAACTCTTCATGTTTCAGCTTTTCTGCTGAGGTCAATTCTTCAACTTGTTTATGAAGGTTATTATTTTCTTGCATGAGAACTTCTGTTTTTTCCATGCCTTTTTTAAGTTTAATATAGTCCTCTTCACTTAGCTCTAGTTTCTTTTCCAGATCCTGATTTTTATTTTTCAGAGAATTTATCTGCTCAGTATTTTCTGAATTAAGTCTAAATATTTCTTTCTTCAATATTTGTCTTTCAGAACCAACTGCTTCCAACTCTTTTTTCAGTATTTCTACTTTAGCATTGGTTGTTGAAATCTTCTCCAAAAGTTTTGAATTCTCAGATTTTAATTTGACCATTTCTTCTGCTGTATTGGAGTGCTTTCTATCTTCTGCTTCATACGTTTTAATCTTTAATTTCAAACTTTCTAATTCATCTTCAGAATAACTTAATTGCTGTGTTAATCTTTGCACTTCTAATTCCAGTTGAAGTTTACTGACATTGGAAGACTCACTGAGTTCTGTTGAAATTGAGTTTTCAAATCCATCCAAAGATAAGTTTGCCTCGTGAATGATTTTCTTTTCAGTTAAAAGAGCCATTTCTCTTTGAAGTTCAACATTTTCTTGGGTAAGGAATGAAATTCTTTCAGCATCTGAGTTGATTTTTATGCAGTATTCATCCAAAAGCATTTTATTTTTTTTCAATTCATTTTCAAATTTGGTAACAGTTTCAAGTCGAACATGGGTGCCTTCCACTTGATCTTCTAACATAGCTTTACTTTCTTCCAGAATCTTATTATCATTCTGTAACTCTTGTACTCTGGCCTTATAGAAAGCTACTTCATTCAAACTTTTCTTTAATACCAACACCTCCTCTTCTAACTTATCAGCTTTACTGGCTCGCTCTTTAAATACATCTAAATCATCCTGTATTGTACGTAGGGAATGCAATTTCTGTATCAATTCTACATTTTCTGTTTTCAATGAAAGAAATCCTCTGCGCACTTCTTCTATTTCTTCTCTTAATTCTGAAATTTGTTCATCTTTTTCATCAATTTGTACCTGAAGTGTTCGAACTTTGATTTTCTTTTCAGTTGGATCTGTTTCTGGAACAGTTGCTTTCTCCGGAATCTCATCACTCTGATCATGTTCTTTTTGACTCTCTCCTTCATGGTCTGCTATAATTTTTTGATGGATAAGTTTATTTCTTTCTAATAATAGTCTTTCCAGATGAACAAATAATTTCTCAACATAATCATCATCAGTATTGTTTCTATCTCGAGGTAAGATAGACAGAGATTCATCAGTTATTTCTTGAATATAAGTCACTATATCATGTTGAACTGTCACATCTAGCTGTTTAATATTAAATATAAAGTCTTCTTTTTGTTCACCTTGAACTGCACATCCCAGTATAAGCAGCAACACTTTACAAACTTCTTTAAAACTAGCTTCTGTCTCAGGTTCACGTGAAATCAAATATATGTCAGGGGCTGCCACAAATAAATAGACTTGAAGTACGTCTTTATAATATGCCTGTATACTTTTTAACAGCAAATCCCAATTAAATAGCCGTGTATTGAAATCACTAACATCTTTGCACACTATATTGTCATCTGGTCTTGGATCAACAATACACATCAAATCATTTAGTAAAACACCATCAAATAAATCACTAAAGCGTATCTGTCTACCATCACCATACACTGCTTTTACCCAGTGTATCAATGGGTGATCCAACTTAATTCCTTCCTTAGTTGACATCTTCACAGATTTTTTTAAGCACTATTACAAATACATTTTTTCAAAAAGACATCATGATCGTTAGAAACTTCACTCCATTATCACTATCTTAATACAGTATAATATCTTAAATACAGTATATAAACATTCTTCAGTTCTGAGAGCTGTAAATTCATGTCCAGACACAACCAATATAATCCACAGTAATGCTGTTAAACAATCTTAACCAATCAACAACTATCTTTATTCTGTTGTGAACAGTTTTGTCAATGGGAGTGTGACCTATTTTTAGTAATAATCCCTTGTGAAACCCATTCCAGTTAGTGGTGTGTACACGGTAGCGTTATTAAACAAGATTAAATCATATAATCTGTTAATCCTGGTCTAATCGTTGATCATTGTTTGCAAAGAATTTAATCAAGAATTTCATGTTTGTGGCAGTCATTTGGAAACCGAACAGATGTCAGACGCGACCAGCTTGACAGTCAATCATACACAAAAAAAGAGACCGGAAAGGCGACCAGGCCACTTCCTTAGTTCAAGATGTACGCCACACGCTTCATTGAACCCGACTCGACTGAATTGACCTACCGCAAATGAAAAAGGTAGAATGGATATTTATTGAAAACTGGCCCAACATTTAACTAGTAGCTATATAAATGAAGATTCATCCTTGCCATACTTACGTTTCGCCGAGCGAGTCTTTGATAATTTATTCAGCTGAGAGACTATTCTTGAGGAGAGAGTGGTGTTTACTTCCGGATAAATGTAGACATGACTATCCAGACACTCATTAATATCTTTTAACCAAACAGCAACTCTCATTATAATTCTAAATCTTACATTGATTGGTGTTCCATAATTTTAACATAATCTGCAAAATATTTTTTTACATTTCAAATTGTTTAAGCTAAAATTGACAGAATGTTTTTACTTACTAAAGCATCTTAAGTGTCTGGAAATTCAAGAATAACATTGTGGGATGCTTAAAAATGTAAGCTCAATATGTCATGCTGTTAAGAAAACGAAATAATTATACTGAAACCTTGCACCATACAGCTGTATATACTTGTTCTATCCTTGCACGAAATCACCATTACAAAAATCAATAAATCTTAAAAATAGGGCTTGCCCTAAGAAAATTCAGACCATATTCAGAGGTCGCCGTCATGACCTCTGTATCATTTGCCGAGGTAAAATTGGCCTTATTAGCTTTAAATATGTTTAGGCCTATTAAAAGTCATGTTTCACTGTTTTCTTATCTTAACTTGATGTCAGAAATAGGAATTGTACCCCCAGTCAAACAGCTTACTTATGGCTTAAAGGTTTAGCTTTCTATAATTAGGCCTGTCTATGTTTGAAAATTACATTGACGACTCGCCTTTTTTCAAGACTCCGCCAATCTATAGAACGGTTAAGGAATGGATGCTCAAAAATTATCTGTAATTCGTGTTTCCTATCATAAACCTTATCAACAAAACAAACAATTATTTTAGGGTAGGCCTACCTTAATTTTGAGGTAGAGGAGAAACAATTGAAAGAAAAAGTGAAATTTCTTCTTGGCTCTTGGTATATTTGGAGGAATTGTGAGATTCCCGATAGGCTTAGCCTACTTTTAGACTATCTACTAATGGCCTAAATCAACCCATCACTTTGATTTATAGTTAAATATTTTACCATCAGCACTTATTGAAAGCGAAAAGTAAAATCTTACTTAATAAATGACCCAATTTACTAACGATCTGAATCGCAAACGAAGTTACCAGAAATCCACAAAACATATTGGCGGAATCATGGTACATGTAGTAGGTAATGCACTTTTCACATGAGGAATGATATCAATTATAAGTGCCTACGTATTTCATAATGAAAAGTCGTATCACTTGTGTATAGAGTAAAAACAACATTTTCATTACAAATAAACTAACGCCGCGGCTAATTGTTTTGGCTATTATTTTATTCTGTCTTCTGAGTCTGTGCTTCTCAACCGTTATGATCCAATTCCCCACTTTAGAAAAGAGCAACCTGTTGCTTAATGTATAAAAATAATTTTTTTAGATTTTCAAAAAATAAAGTTGGGGTACAATAGAGAGTGCAAACCATTTTTCCTAGAGGTAGGCCTACCATGCTTTTCTGAGGAAAATGTCCAGTGGCTCAACTAGATGAGTGGGGCCCGTTGGCTGGGGCCCCTTTCCGGGATTTTTTTTTTTTAATATTTAGGCTATGCATATTTTTTTTCTGGTGCATGGTATGGTGGGCTTGGTTCAACTAGTCCATAAATATGTTAGTTGAGCCACAGAAAATATCAGCTAGACAATAAATTAAGGGTGCATCCAACGTGGTCCAACGCTCATTCATCTTCACAATGTCGTTACGAAGTCCGTTTTAATTATACGTTGGCATCATATTATTACTAATAATATTAGGCACTATAATTGAATAATTCTTTTGACGAGCATTTTAAAATCCACACCTATTGTTACTGCCCAATACTTTCCTGAAAAGGCTATTTACAGATTCAATCTAGTACTCTCTACTACAAAACTAAGTTGCCAATGAATATTGTATTATATATCTGCACTAAAACAACTCAGAATACTCAGATCTAAATGAAATGAGGTGAATGGAGTTTTACGTCCTATTCAGATCTAGATATCTATCTCTTTTTGCATGATAGAATTTGTAGTTGATCTGTAACACGACTTGGCTGTACAAGAACAGCTGCTTTAGCTAAAAACGAATTCAATCCCATCTTACTGTTTTATTTTTATTTTTTGTGAAAAATACCAATGTTTCGTTTCGATTTATGAATTTAGTGATGTTACAGCAGCATGACTTTGTAAATCACCTTGTGACCCATTTATGACCAGAGCGGATGTGTTGTTTTGTTTCTTGAAAACACGCCACTTTTAACAGAATTCATCACCACTAATTAGGTCCAAAGTCTACCTGTTGTAGATAGGTTGGTAATTTATTTTGTTTAAGATCTTTATTTCTAAAAAATTAGTGGTTTTCCACCGTGTACGTTGTGAAGGATAGATAGGAAGAGCCGGCATTTTTGTGAATTCTACTCGAAGACATTCACTCTGCTGATGAAACACTGGGTAGATTTGCCTACCTGTCCTAACTGTAAATGTTATTCCTGCTATTTTTATCTGATTTTAAGTGAAATTTATGGATCAAAACATTAATACAAAGGGTCAATTCAAAGTCAAGGAAGTTGATGAGATTTTCTTGACCATATAGCATCATACTCAGTCATAGTCATAGGCCTAAGATTAGTTCATAGACATTGATCATTGTATAAATAATTTGTAACTAAAATATCTAAATATTTTCGTTATATAAAGAAATTATAAAGAAGTCAAAGGTGTATTTGACAGCCATTTAGATTCAACATCAAATTTCGTCAAAGTTAAAAAACGGAAATTATATTTTATGTCTTAGCTTAGATTATTCCTCAGTATTCTACAAAATAATTAAAATTGGTTTGTTTCGATTTTCTTTATTAATCTCTCACTTTGACCCATATTTCATGAGTGACCAACTCGACAACGGCGGCAAAATGCATCACCTATTTTCGTGTACAATGTTTGATCTATAAATAAGTTGAGAAAAACACGTTGTATGGATACCCATTGGTATAATTAACTTCTCTTAATACAGTGGTGTAACCTATTTTCGTGGATATAAGGATTCAACACCAAATTTCATCAAAGTTAAAAAAGAAAGAAATTTCTTTTTTATGTCTTCTAAGAAGATGTTTCCTCAGATATTCTACAAAATAATTAAAATTGGTTTATTTCGATTTTCTTTATGAATCCTTCACTTTGACCCATATTTCATGAGCAACCAACTCGGCAACGGCAGCAGAATGCGTCACCTATTTTCGTGTACAATGTTTGATCTATAAATAAGTCTAGAAAAACACGTTGTATGGATACCCAGTGGTATAATTAACTTCTCTTAGTATTTATCTTTAATATCAATTCATTATAACTATTCCTTCAAAGAACCACGATTTAAAAAAAAAAAATAGTGATTGACAAAATAAGATACGTAGCGTGATTTATTGCTAAAAGTCACTGACACAACATAAGAAGATGGTCCACTTTGTGTTCCATAGAAATTTTCTGCTGACAAGTAATCTGCTAGTTGATCACGTGGCTTCATACGACACTTGGAATTCTGATTACAGCTTGGGATTACAAGGAAATTCGGCCGATAAAAAATGGTGACGTTTGGTAATAACTGAAATCTGCCATTTTGTATTTGTCAAAGTATACATTAATACATTTTACCTTGCTTGAAATTACTGAATTCATTCTACTAGCTGATATTGTAGAGAAAACCCATGTTTATCAAAACAAACTAATGCGGAGGTCGCGAAGGGTAGCTCATGTAAATTATTAATCCTTTCTTGAAATCCAAGAATAATAGGTTTCCACGAAATTAGGTTACATGACTGTATTTATCTTTAATATCAATTCATTATAACTAAGGACAATTCCTTCAAAGAACCATGATTTAAACAAAAAATAGTGACTGACAAAATAATATACATAGCGCGATAAAAGTCATTGAATCAAAATAAGAATATGGCCCACATTGTGTTCCATAGAATTTTTTGGCTGACACGGAATCCACTAGTTGATCAGGTGACTTCATACGTTGGACTTTATTCTAGCAGACGACACTTGGAATTCCGATTACAGATTGGGATTATTAGGAAATTCGTCCGATAAAAAATTGTGATGAAATACGCCCTTTTGTGTTTGTCAAAGTATACATTAATACATTAATACATTTTACCTTGCTTGAAACTACTGGATTCATTCTACTAGCTGACATTGTACAGATAATCCATGTTTATCAAAACAAGCAAATGCAGAGGTCACGTGAGGTCGCACATGTAAATTATTAAACCTTTCCGGAAATGCATGATAAATTTAGGTTAGCACGACATTAGGTTTCTTGACTGTATATATAATGAATGATTTATTAATTACTTCCATCTACTCTTAAATTTTATCGCCTCTCAGTGTTGTTGACATTCTGATCAGTATGATTGTTTTACATGAAAGATCTAAAAGTGTACCTTCTTACAGACCACAGTCAGTTCTGAATTCTCTACAGTAAGATTGTTTTACATGAAAAATCGAACGGTTAAAGTAAGACGCACAACTTTCGGATACCCAAATTTTCAGGTGAACATAAAAATTAAAAAGTGAAATTGGTTGAGGTATATTTGAAAAATTTATGCTACCAGTCATTTTTTCCAATGTAGACATGTATTCTCGAAACGATCTTAGCGCTAGGATGTCCTAGGATCAATCGCAGGCATCTGTTTCTATCAATAGTCGACTCTATCTATAATAGCATATGAGAAGGTAATGAAACATGATTCCAACCTTATATGAATTGTTTCATTGAATATTTTCCCTTCACACAGGACCTATCTTATATCTCCCTCAGTGTTCCTCTTCATACTAATCTAACTATTGTTCAATATGAATACTAACAAAATTTACACCCATCGTTTCAATGTATCTACTTTCCATTTTTTGATTAAATTGGAAACATAGAAAACGGTTCGAGGTAAGGAAAATTGAGTTTTAAGAACTTGACCTTCATTGTAGTTGATAATGAAATTTCTGTGATTGTGAACAACTGGAAATTGAAATCTAAATCTTGAAATTTAAGTTTAAATGAGTTGGTTTCTTTCAAAAATATCATGTATAACTGTTATTCATATTTTGATATATTCAATATTATATTCGCAATGAATAAGAAAATATATAAGCAAATTCTGCTAAATAGTCAAAATATCTTAATACAATCAACAGGTACCGGTACAAAAAAACATGCATCAATGTGTACTTTTGAAATGATTAAATCACAAAACTTGATGCAGAGTAGGCCTATATGTTATTTTATCTTCAAGAAAGTGTTAAGATCATATTTTTGATAATCAATGCAAGCCTGTGATAGGCGTGGGTGACGGACATATATTTATCTAATTTGTATGTCTGTAACACATATATTGAGGGTGTTGTTTAAATTCTCATATTAAATTTTCTGGCAATATGATAAGTTAGACCAACTTATTGATAATATAAATTTTCTTGGAGATAATAATGAGACCATACATTAAAAGTTCAGTGTGATCTATAAGCAATCATTTAAACAAATAGTAACTGAAATTTTCCCTCCTCTTAAAGATATAGTTTATTGACCTGAACAATCAGATGCATTTAAAATTCTCAAGTTGTAAGCTTATATAATATATTTCATTTTAATCCTACTTTCCCTTATATTTGAAATACTGGTAGGGGTTTCATTAATTTCCAACTTAAAACAAATGCTTAAAATCTCAATTTATTAACAGTGAAGTTATATAGCACTAGCAGAAAATATATTAAAAAATTTTAATATTTGTGTAGCCGTAGTAATAACTAGCCATTCTGAATAGATTTGACTTTGGTCATTCAAATTTATGTTATTATGTTATAGTCTTTTGTGTACAAAGGTTCATGATCAGATACAAGAGAAAATGCAAATATTTAGCTTTATAAACAATTGCCTTGAATCAATCTCTTGATAGTGAACAAAACCAAAATTCTGTAAAAAAAAAAAAAAAAAAAAAAAAAAAAAAAAAAAATTAAGCTGAACTAACTGTAGATCAGATGATAATTAAAGGAACACAAATTAGTTGATGATCATTCTCAATAGTTTTCAAAATTACATCATTGGTAATGAAAAAATGATGGAATATTTTAATGTTATGGAATAATATGGAAAGGATGAATATTATTTTTTAAAAGGATCAAATTTAGCTATCATTTACATAGGTTATGGTAATTTGTCAAGTACACCATGATATCAGGTTGAAAAGTACTAAGTGTATTATATGTGAACATTTGATAAAAAATAGTTATCACTTCAATATTATCTTAATTCAAGTGAACCTGTCCTAGATTTTGTGGACACATGCATGTAATGTCAAATAATACTGGAAAAATCATTGGACAATTTCATGGGAGTCAAAGTTCATTTTTAAGATGCAATAAATTGTATGTAAAAATATATTATCTGTGGATTACAATACAATATCAATTCATGTTGGAAAGTTCACAGGGTAAGCTTTTATAGTTATAGTATAGTGGATTTTGTAATGAGATGAGATGTATTAATGATTATTTGATAATATGAAATTGTCATGCATGCTCATACCACTAAATTTGATAAGAGTAGCTGTTACATCTGTAATTTATGGTATAAGCTTACATCTGATGATACATTTGATAATACAATATATGTACTTAGGACTTCTTGACATCATGCCTCAAGTGATGTACTGCTCATACATTGATGAACCCTGATTAAAGATTATATCTCCATATTTAGTTGACCAAAGTTCAGTAGGTTAAAAGTCACTTGGCTTAAATAAGAAGATTAATGAGAACTTAGTTAATGATCAAGTAAGTAAGGTATACTGGAGCTTACTACAGGTTATTAAGGATTAGTTAACTAGGTAGAGGATATTAGAGGACATATACGTGTATATTAGTAAGGTTATAGGAGATATATGAGGTATTTCTTGACAAATCAAACATTTATTTAGATACTGGCCTTGGAAAGAGACACAATTGTTTCTTGTATTTGTTTCTGGTTCTTTTTTAGGATAATTTTTTATGTGTGATTTTATGTCAAGAGTATTGAGTAATACATGGCAATATTCATCGATTATGTGTCAGTGTCAAAATTTGGAAAACCAAAAATATCAGTCATCAGGTTTTGAAAATAATATTATTTCAATTATATGACATTGGACTGTTTGTATATTTTAGATTGAAAATGGAGTATTTAAAGTTAGCTGGTGCCAGCGTGGTGACAGTGGGAGCTGTTGGTACTGCAGCAGCCTTATACTTTTCACAAGGTCCAGAACAATTCCCTAGAATTAATGATATGAAGAATCAAACACAGCCATGGAAGGTAAGTGAAGCGTTATATATCTTGACCATTTGCAGTAAGTTTAATAAGAATATTTTTATATTGTTATTTATGGTGATGAAAAGTCCTTTGATGAATTTTAGAATCTTTTCATTTTAGCGTGATCCTCAAGCCAGAATTTCTACGCTTTGTAAAAATGGAGAAATTCAAGGATACATTCATGAAGATTCTAGAACTTTACTAGAGTTTTTTAAACGTGGAGCCAGAATTTCAAGTGAGTATATTTATATTGGAAATGTTTAGAATAGTGTAGAACCGTCTGCAGGTAATATAATGAAAATGTTTATAAAAATGAATGATTTAAGTATTGCAAGTTTAAAATGGCAAATGTTTCCATAGTAAATATAAATGAGGTATTTTGATTAATTATTATTATCATTATAGAGAATGGTCCATGTTTAGGATATAAACCATCTTCTAATGAACCTTATAAATGGATTAGTTATGATCAGGTATGTCCTTGATAGTGATTAATTATCTATAATAAGATTGAATTCTGACCAAGAGTTTTTCCTCTCTTTTCTGTTTGTCTCAACAGCCAAAATCCATTGAATATGAAGTAATGCAGATAGGTGATAAATCACCATTCCATCCTGTGTTGTTTTTATTATGTAATCTGTATACTCACCTTGATTCTCACTTATAATAAATTACCAACTGAATATTTTGATTGGGATGCATTTTCTGAACTTGATAGTGAGTTGTTTGTGCAGACGTTAGTTTCCTGCATATTGTTATTGTTTTTTACCTTCCGTTATTAAATCATCCACTAACATTGTCAATATCTTATTTGGTTAAAGTGCTGTTAGAAATTGTCATAATTACATAGACCATATTCAGGCTAAGCCATATTGAGTCCAGAATGAAGCTCATAACACAAACAAAGAAACTAATCATATTTTGCAATCATTAAAATCGGAATTGATTAAAAGCTATTTTAAGATACTTTTATTTGAAATTTACATTTTTACACATTTTTGTTCTTTATTGATCGAATGTTTATGACGTCATATATATAATATAGACTATTCCTTCATATGACATGGTCATATTTTAAAAGATATTGTAATTTGGTTTGTGAACATGTAGTTGATGATTCCAAAACGAAGCGTAAATATGGTTTATTGTTTTATCAGTTTTGAATATTGTTGTTATTTTGATTATTATTACAGGTTTTAGAACGATCTAAAAATATTGGATCTGGATTGATAAAGTTAGGACATTCAGCATCTAATAAAACACATATTGGTATTTATTCTCAAAATAGACCTGAGGTAAATACTGTCTTAATCTAAAATGTAAAATTTCAATACAGTTATTTATACCATAACTATCAAAATATAGATCTTTACTATTCTGTTTTGAGTTTTATCACATTTATCAATATTACAATGTGAAACAGCAAATTATTGGAGATTATGAAAAAGATACATTTAGCTATGAATTTTTAAAAATGTTTGCTGACTATATGAATTCCAATAAAAAGCGCATGTAGGCCCTACATTAACTCAAAATATGAAAAATATGTAGTTTCAATAACTAGATGATGATATGTAAAAGTTAGTAATGCTAACTGACCAATGAAAGCTCTGTTTTGATACTTCCAAGTATAAATGTTTTTGATTCATTTTAATGAAAATATTTTTTATGCCCACATTATGTCTGGATATCATAATATGACATTATCATTACATATAAAATAGCATATTATATATCATATATTTCAGTATGTGATACTAGATGAAGGATTATATATGTATTCTATGGTTGGTGTACCATTATATGATACTCTTGGTGTAGAAGCTTGTAATTTTATTATTGATCAAGGTAAGTATTTAAAATTTTCATGATTTTTACTGATGAAATTTTTCAAATGATATCCTCGTTCAATAACCTATGTTGCAAAACCTGCAGAGTAATTTGAAGAAGTTCAAACTTGATAAAGGGATGCAATAGAGGTTCTTTTCATTTTATATGTATCAGATTTTTATTGTCTCAATTTGCATCATTCCAATTTCTTGTCTGACATCTGTGGTTTCTAAACTTCAAACAAATTTGACTGTAATCACTAATGCTGAAACCATAAAAAGATATTTACAGAAATTACAGAAAACATGAAAAATCCAATGGAATACCTATTACTCTATCTATTGTAGCTGAACTAGAAACAGTTGTCTGTGATAATAATGTTAAAGTCAAGAATTTATTAGATCGGTGGAAAGATACCAAACAAATTAAAACAATAGTTTGTATGGATAAATTTTCACCAGAAAATAAAGCTAAGGCTGATGAATATGGCATTAAAACTGTATTATTTACAGAACTTGAGGTAAGACTGAATTATTGAGAACTTCATTAGAAAATGATGGAAATTGAAAATTTTGATATTTAATCGAAATATTTAGTTATATTTTTCAATTTTCTGTTTCTGTTTTATTTTTCTAATACCTTATGAATATATGTTTTAATGTGTGATTGTTCTATTCAGATTTTGGTTTATTTTCTAGGCATTGGGTAGAGACAACCCTGTACCTGAAAATGTAAGTATTATTTATAAATATCAGGACATGATGATAAACTATTATTTTAATTGTATGAAATATGAATAGGTTACAGATAGTACATTCCTCTCATTTAAGAAAGAAGTTATTATTTTATTACATTGACAGTACAATACTACAAAAATCATGCTTACAGATCATTTTGAATAAATCCTGCATGAAAGCACAATCTTGAATAATTGTTTAGTTTCTAATTTTGGCACAGTGGAATTTCAATGAATAATTCCCCAACCAAAAATTTTGAATGCTACAATAATAAATTGTATTTGTGTAACCCTAACTTAAATTAAGTTTATTGTTGGTACTGTATTTGAAATCAAATTTCTATTTATTATTACAGCCCGCCAAACCTGATGATTTATGTCTGATATGTTATACTAGTGGTACTACAGGTAAGTTATCTGAACTTTACAAGTTACCCTTTATTTTCAGTCTAATTGAAATTAGACAAAACTTTCATTTTGCTTTTTTATTCATTAGCTTTTATTTTTAATATAGGCACTTCAGTTAGCTTTCAAATTTTGATCTAACGTGAGAAACACTACGTCACAAAATTTCAGTGCTTGAGAGGGTAGAAAATTGATTGGTTAAAGCAGACTTCATCGAGTTAATTTGACCAATTCAAGAGGGCTAGCGTATATATTAAAAATAAAAGCTCATATAAAAGGCAATGAAAGTTTGGTCACTTTTGAATTAGACTGCCTCTATCTTATACTATACTTCTTCATTTCTTGTTTAAAAGTAGGACGTAAAACTCCATTCATTTCTTGTTTCTGACAAATACTCGCCAAATATAAAATTTACATCATTATCAAGTGTTTTTATTTTTATAGGTCTACCAAAAGGAGCTATGTTAACACATAAAGGTTTAGTAGCTGTTATAGATGGATGTGCTGCACAATTAGTAAGTTATAATTATTGTCTTGGTTTATAGTCAAAAACTCAAGTAACTACTGTAGTTAAATTATATTGATAATATGTGATAATAACATAAATGTTTGTATTTGATGTAGGATCCTACAGGTGTAGCTATAGGACCTGGTGATAAGATGATATCCTACTTGCCATTAGCTCACAGTTATGAAAGAATGTTAGAGGTATGTATATTATAAACCTGTTAATTTATTCTTGGCACATTCAACCCCCTTTCAGATATGATGCATCTTGCTAAAGAGTTACCAGTGCATAGTCAACAATGCAGCAATGTTGGTTGTGAAAACTCTGCTACAGTTTTATTTTGAAATTCAGGAATGGCATTGCCTCTTTTGATACCTGTGAACATGTTTCCAAATTGACCTATATTTCAGGGCTATATTTTCTCTCATGGAGCAGCACTAGGATTTTTTCAAGGTGATGTAAGAAAGTTGATGGATGATATTAAAGAATTACAGCCCACGTTATTTCCTACTGTTCCTAGATTATTAAATAGATTCTATGATAAGGTAATTAGATTTTAAAAGATGTTCTAGCTTTGTCACTTTTTAATAATGACTCTTGAAGAGGTTGCCTGATTTTACTGGATAGAACGATAGGTGCGTGAAGTCTATTTCAACAAAACCTATAAATTATTCACTATCTTTCATGAAATCAATTGGTTATTTATGCAAAGCAGAGTATCTGGCAGCAATTTAAGGATTGAATAATAATCTAGTATTTGAGGAATATTTTCTAGTAATTGATTATTCTGTATATTTCAGGTTATGACTGGTGTTAATTCTAGTTCCTTAAAGAAACTGTTATTTAACATAGCTTTATGGGAAAAAGAAAAAGAAATTGTGAGGTAAGTGAATATCATCAATTTATTTAACATTTCACTTCCTTGTACATTTCTTAAATGTAATGTGATTTACTACTCCATCTCCTTACCAAGTACAGTTTTTATACCATGATGTTGCCTCATATTTGTCAGATCATTTTTGGAGCAATCAATTTGGCCCTGGTGTATCTGTGTTGTTCACTGGAATTAGGATAGATGAAGATGATAATATGTCGGGGGATCCCTGGCAAATATGATTAACTAAGACAACACAAAAAATATTTTTCTTCATAATTTTAGAGGTGTAATAAGAAATGACAGTATTTGGGATATACTGGTGTTTAAGAAGATACAAGCTGCACTAGGTGGTAAGGTTAGATTAATTACCACAGGTTCAGCACCTTTAGCTCCTAAAGTTCTCAGCTTTTTACGCTGTATAGTTGGATGTCCAGTAAGTTACATAATGTTTATTTCTTATTATCTAGACCCCATCTATTACATATCATTCAATAGACCAAAGACTCATAAACAATATTGTCCTTGAAATCATTTACAATCTCTCGGTTTAAAAGCTCCATAAACTTTAATGAGTTTTAGCTTGACTCCAGTTGATTAAAGTGACTCAAGTAATCTTTCTTACTTTTTATTTTGATCTTTGATGAAATTTGGTTGTTGCATGTCTTGATTTGTATATCAGAAAATAATGATTATTTTATAAAGTTTTGTTATTATGTATGATAATATTTGTAGGTTATTGAAGGTTATGGTCAGACTGAGAATCATGCTATATCTACTTTACAAATACCTGGTGATCCTCAATCAGGTATTATATTTTATACGTCTAGTGGTGATATAGGTTGGCAGCAATGGTATTTGTTTATGTTTTCAATTGAACGACCTTAATGAAAAAAGAATAAACTAATTACGGCTGAAACCATATTTCCGTTTTGCTAGAAGTAAACACGTATATAATTTATATTAATAATAGGTACTGTGGGACCACCGTTAGTATGTAATGCCGTTAAATTATTTGATGTACCAGAAATGGAATATTTTGCTAAAAATGATCAAGGAGAGGTAAGTTTAACTAAATTGTTAGTAATAGTTCAGATGAAGTTATCTAATAATACATTTAGCTTACTACTGAGCTCAAATGTAGTACTTGACTGTTTTGCTGATATTTTCAGATGAAAATAGTCTGAATTATTGAGTTAAATCAGCTTAGATATGTATCTTATCAATATCACAGGATAACCTAACAATATATTCCAATATGAATAATTGTATTTTTAGATATGTATTAAAGGACCAAATGTATTTAATGGATACTTAAAAGATCCATCTAAAACTAGAGAGGCTATAGATAAAGATGGTTGGTTACATACTGGTGATATTGGTGAATGGTTACCGGTAGGTTTCTAATCAGATTTGATTACATGTTATCTATATGTACACTTTACTTCTAGCAGTATTAATGTTACTTAGATAAGAATAATAATGTGTATATTTATAAAGCACTGATCTCAACACAAAGGTGTGTTCATAGCGCTTACATGGCAAATACTTATTGCATTCATTCATGCAGTTACAAGTTATGACAAAAAGATATACTTCCCAAATATTTAGTTTGTCTTTTGAAGAGTTGAAATTTTTTTAATTTTTTTTTTTTGACATAATAATTCTTAAAATGTTATTGTTTCAGACTGGGACACTAAGAATTATTGATAGAAAGAAAAACATCTTTAAACTGGCACAGGTAGGTTCATTCTGAATTGCTACAGTATTCTTTTTGAAAATATGATTGAATTTAACAGAAGTTGTCTCATTCTTAAATGAAATAAATATTCAGGATCTCAAATTATTGTTCTTGCATCTTTTTTATGATTGTCAAATTATTAGCACTGATGGTGTGGATTAATTTGAGAACATGCCTTTTTATTCAAACATTAAATTGGATCACTCACTGTGAGCTGAATGATTTTTTATGGGTTACTTAACATGTTTTTATTGTTTCTAGGGAGAATATATTGCTCCAGAAAAGATTGAAAATGTGTATGTGAGGTCTTCATTAATATCTCAAGTATTTGTCCATGGAGATAGTTTACAGGTATGACAAAACCTTTGAAAATCTCAATTTTTTAATCATGCGTAAACTATATACCAAAATTGTAGAAAAATATGCCCTTTTAACATATGTGAAAGTTTTAACTTAAAATAATCCAGCCGTTAATTTTTAAACGCTAAAAATATTTTTAAACATTACATAAGGTTTTGTAGTTAGTTATGCTTTATAGAAGCTGTTTGAAAACTACAGTACAGATTTAAGTAAAATAAAAGCCTAATATCGAGTCATAATAAATTATTATAAACTGCTTAATTAACAATTAGTTCTCTCTGTTTTTAATTAAACCTTTTAAAACAAATTCAATTTGATTAAGAAATAGCATACTTAAGAAATATTTTCAGGTATAAGTTACAACATTAATGATAATGAAAATTATAGAAGCGAAAATAAACCCCCCAGTATCCAACTTTGAATTGTCTAAAATAGTTACAGGAGTTGTTAATCAGTATATAATTGAGGTTAATCCTATATTATGTATCTTGTGTTTATTTTCAGGCATGTTTAATAGGTATTGTTGTACCTGATCCTGATTCTTTACCAAAATTCTGCAAACAAAAACTTAATTTAAAAGGAGATTTATCAGATTTAGCCAGAAAACCAGTAAGTTTTGTTGTATTCATGTGAACCTATCTAGCCTGAACTCAACCTCTAGAATATAGTTTTACAATAATTCTTACTGTTTCATGCTGTTTTTGTATTATGAATATCTAGTGATTTTGAAATACAAAGACAGACTGTTTTTAAACACAATGTTGATGTAAGCTGGCTAGGAAACAACATTGCGTGTTAAACTTATTGTATTTATATAAAGACATGTTTGATTCAGTATTTTATGGAAATATACATACTGTATACTAGTAAATTTATTGTTAACTACAAAGTGTGAATTATAAGAAGTTTAGATAAATAAACAAATAATAAACTGAACCACCCACTTGACTTGAAATATGTTTATTACTATAGATAGATCTATTTATTACATTATTATTATAGGAGGTAAAGAAAGCTATCCTAGAAGATTTATTAGAAGTTGGCAAGAAAGCAGGACTTCATTCTTTTGAACAGGTAAAACTTATGTTAATTTTCCTGATAATTTTGCTTTATATCTTTTATTCTTATTTGTCATCCAATATTAACTCATTACACTCTGTGAATTCATGATATGAAAATTTATGTGTGCAATATACCCATCCTTTCTTCAATAGAAAGAGTTAAAAATTCAGTTTCTATGATACTGTGTTGATAAACAATTATTTATTTCAGATTCGTGATGTTTATGTTTATCCTGAAATGTTTTCAGTTGAAAATGGTTTATTAACACCAACATTTAAAGCAAAACGACAAGAATTGGCCAAGTATTTCTCTAAACAATTGAAAGAAATGTATGCGAAAATGGCCTAAAACTTATTGAATCATTCCAAAATGATGAAATAAATTATCAAGATATCATTTTATTACAAAAGGAGCCTCTTTCACAAAATAGTTAAACATCAGTCCTATCCAGGAGAACTTCTATATCATAAACATTTTGTGAAACTGGTTCGTACATCATCTAGTTAAATATGGTCAGATGTTTCTATATGAAAACTGATATAATGTGACGTTATGATAATAGAGCAACTAGGTAACTGGTGAGATTTCCTTTTATATCCAGTTAATTTATTCCTTTAAATTTATCATAATAAAAAAACTTACAAACTGTGTTAAAAACACAGACCCTGTTTAACTAGAAGATTTATATACATCAATTCTTGTTTATTTATACTATCTTATTATTTATTATAAAATTCATACATAAAAAAAATGCTTGGTTAAAAAAAAAAGGATGCAATTTGCTGTTGTTTGTTAAGGTTTATTTGTGTTGTATGCTTAATTTGGTTAGTGATAGATTATTATATTTATTATCAACTAGACTACTAACCACTGTTTCAATAAAATCAGCTGACAAAGAAAAGTTTATCTGGCTTGATTCCAGACTAAATATTGAGGAGAGCTCAAACTATGGTATTGATACTAACAGAAGGATTGCTAGGTTTTCAAAATCAATGACCAGGGCTGGCAGAAAAGTTCTAATTCTAACTTTGAAAGACTTTTGCCAGCAGTGCTGCAAGGTCTGGATGCAGATCAAGGAAAGATTTCTGCAGCTAACTTAAAAAAGTCTTTCACAGTGGAAATGACTATTAATTTTTAATTATTCATTACTGATACAATTTTGGGAAACTGGGTGAAGTCTGAGAGGCCAAAAATATATAAACTCATGGGCATGACAATGACACGTTTCTGATCTTCTGTAATGAGCTCTAACACCCTTCTTGCAGTTTTTAGTTTCATGATTCATTAAATAAGTGTAGGCCAATTCAATTGGGATATCCCAGTTAGGCTTAGCGGTAGAACTTGTCAGCTAAGTGTTTTTTTTATAGCTTACAAAATAAATTGAAAATTCCCTCAAGCAGACATCTAAGCTACATTGAAATATATGACTGGCTTATCATATGCAAGAATACACAATATGTCACAGCGAACCTTCTGCAGTTCACTGAAAGAGGTGTGTGAAGGTTGAAGTGTGTCTGATAATTTTCCACAAAAACAAAAAGCACAACATATCTTATATTATTACTCCTATTTCAACCATTAACAGAACCTGGTCTTCAAATTTACAATTAAGCTAGTCAACACTTACATTTAGTAATAGTGTTTAAATTTGACTTCAATGAATGTTGAATCAAAATATAACATTAGTCAAAAGTCATTTATTTGAATTAAACCGGTTTATTTTAGTTTATATTTCTTGATATTAGTGAATTGTACATTATATTTTACAGTTTTAACTATGGCAGCAGATATTTATGTGAAAGTATAAAGTAGGCTTACTAATTAGTTTATTTACTATTAGAGATTACATCTAAGATTAGTCAACATAGGTAGTTATATTGTTCTTTATGACAATGTCAATTTTATGATTTAGATTTGGTAATAGACATACCAGTATTACGCTTCAGCTTTAGAATATTTTTTTTGACAAGTTTCATACAGGGCATATAATTTCTAGTAGAAGTAGTTAACCTTAGTTAAAATAACAGTAACAAATACGTTCTGACTGTCAAATGATGGTCATTCGGGCATCATAATTATCAACAGATTACTTTTCAGTTGTGATCTAATCCTTTCATGTCAATGATATTTAGTTTCATAGCAGATATCTCAATCAGTTGTACTTATGATGTCCAAGATGTGTATTATTAAGAAAAGCAGTTTGAAACCAAAGCATTTGTTTGATAAGGAATACCACGACAATAAATTAACTTTATAAAGAGTTTGTGAGTGCTGTATGAGAGATTGTGAAAGCTCAAAAACTCTGTAATTACATTAACTTCTTATTTATGTCTTATCAATTACAGAATTCAACACTGCTCTTGTATGTTTTAAATTCATGCTTCGAATATGCTTTCATCCTGTGACATTGGGAAATAAAATTGACCTGTATAAGCTTATGAGGATGGGTAACACCATGTAGTGTGCAATGAAGGAAATTTTGCAGTTTTTAGTTTCATGATTCATTAAATAAGTGTAGGCCAATTCAATTGGGATATCCCAGTTAGGCTTAGCGGTAGAACTTGTCAGCTAAGTGTTTTTTTTATAGCTTACAAAATAAATTGAAAATTCCCTCAAGCAGACATCTAAGCTACATTGAAATATATGACTGGCTTATCATATGCAAGAATACACAATATGTCACAGCGAACCTTCTGCAGTTCACTGAAAGAGGTGTGTGAAGGTTGAAGTGTGTCTGATAATTTTCCACAAAAACAAAAAGCACAACATATCTTATATTATTACTCCTATTTCAACCATTAACAGAACCTGGTCTTCAAATTTACAATTAAGCTAGTCAACACTTACATTTAGTAATAGTGTTTAAATTTGACTTCAATGAATGTTGAATCAAAATATAACATTAGTCAAAAGTCATTTATTTGAATTAAACCGGTTTATTTTAGTTTATATTTCTTGATATTAGTGAATTGTACATTATATTTTACAGTTTTAACTATGGCAGCAGATATTTATGTGAAAGTATAAAGTAGGCTTACTAATTAGTTTATTTACTATTAGAGATTACATCTAAGATTAGTCAACATAGGTAGTTATATTGTTCTTTATGACAATGTCAATTTTATGATTTAGATTTGGTAATAGACATACCAGTATTACGCTTCAGCTTTAGAATATTTTTTTTGACAAGTTTCATACAGGGCATATAATTTCTAGTAGAATTAGTTAACCTTAGTTAAAATAACAGTAACAAATACGTTCTGACTGTCAAATGATGGTCATTCGGGCATCATAATTATCAACAGATTACTTTTCAGTTGTGATCTAATCCTTTCATGTCAATGATATTTAGTTTCATAGCAGATATCTCAATCAGTTGTACTTATGATGTCCAAGATGTGTATT